CAAAAACAAATTAACAAATCATAGGTTTCTTTAAATCGGAGAATTGAATATTTAAACAAAAATAACGATTTTTTTTTTTGTTTTTACTTCAACATTTAACAGTTGTCTTTGAAATACATAATATTAACTGAATTGATAAAACTGAGTTATGGAAATCTTCCAATTAAGAAGTTTTGGCAAAACGTTTTACATTCATTCAAAGAATGCATAAGTAACTTATTCTTAAAATATTCAAGATTTAATTTCTCTGTAATTCTAAATTGCAAATAAATTTAGGGAATAGCAAAAACAAAAAAAACATTTGAAAATCTATTTATAATCAGAAGCAGGAAAAACTTTTTTGGAAGTTTACCAAAATTAGTATACAAGAAAGTTAGCAATATCACACCATCTTAATTTGGACAATTATTAGGTCATTTTCGAGACTTGAGCTACATTTTGTTTAATCTCTAAATCAGCAGTTCCTAAAGTTTTGTAACCCAAGGACCCCTTTTAATCTAACATTTTCTCGCGGACCCCCAAACCTATCAATATTTTTTTATTTTGAAAAAAACAACATAAGATTCCATGTACATGAACAGCTATATTCTAAAATTGAATGTTTTAAAAATAATTTTATTCTGTAAGTCATATTTTTTAAAACTATTTTTATGAAACTTCGCACATGAATCACGGACCCCAGTTTGAAAAACGCTGCTCTAAATCATCTGATTCTTTTGAAATGGAAAATGTAGACATAGAGATACTTTATTTATTATATAGGTGAAATTTTGCGAAATATTTGGAGTTTCGGCGTAATTTTTGAGGCATTAAAAATAACTTCAACTGATTTTACACACCTCTTGTTAACGAATCCCTTTGATCACATTTTGTTAATATATCGTTTCTAGAAATACGTTCTGAGTTCTTCGTGTTCTCAGTTACCGTTTTTGCTTAATCTTTGGTAACTAAGTGATAGCAACTTTCGTTTCATCGACCAACGCCGGCTTTAGTTTGAGCTACATGTTAATATATAGTTTACACCTCCGCTTTCCTGCGAATCTATCACAGCGAGACCACGTCATTGTAATACAGTGCTCGGCGTGTGGCATACACCGCTCGGCTCGAATATTGCATTAGGAGCCCGCGACCTCCTACGAGCTCGATATACTCACGTTCTGCTGCCACGGAACGCGAAGGCTCATGCTGAGTCGCGGAAACGTCCTGCCTCATGCTGGTTCTCGCCGGGTTTTCTCATCCCCGGTCCCGGTGTCGCTGCTCGTTTAATGTCCTTGCCTAAGTCTCGCTTTGGCTGAATTTTATTAAACTTGGCGCAGTTCAATCGATCACGGTTTGTCACCTACCCAATAAAGTCTGCTACAGCGATCTTTGGCGGACTTATAATCTGGCCAGGAACCTTTTAACGCCCTTTCAGAAAATGAGTTCGACATGAATGAAATTGTCAATTGAATCGTTTCAGCTTCTCTCGTTCTAAATATCGCACCAACATAAATAATAGCACATCATGCGTATGATTACATTATGGGGATTAGAATGTAACTTGGATACACAACTTTCGTTATTAGATATAAGTATTAAATTATTTTAAGTCACTTTTCTGCAAATAAAACTACAGTATTACATACACGTCAATTACATGATATACTCGATGTTGATTGTTGTTCCAAATTATCTATAAAACTACAGTATTACATACACGTCAATTACATGATATACTCGATGTTGATTGTTGTTCCAAATTATCTATAAAACTACAGTATTACATACACGTCAATTACATGATATACTCGATGTTGATTGTTGTTCCAAATTATCTATAAAACTACATTCGGCAAAACTACAGTATTACATACACGTCAATTACATGATGTACTCGATGTTGATTTTTGTTCCAAATTATCTATAAAACTACATTTGGCATTTGTCTTATGAAAGTAAATATATTTATTATAGCTTTTATATTTAGAAAATTCAAGGTTTCTTTTCGAAAAGAGAATACACTATAATGGATATTTAGGACATAAATTGTGTTTAATATTCCATTTCGAGCACGATGTCATAATTTTGTAATTTTTCAAACTATTATAATTTTGTCAGATTTTGTTTTCCAGACAATTTTGTGAAGGTTAATAATCTCAATATTATATTTAAGTATGTGATTGTAAGATCTTGTTTTTTATAGAATATCTTTTTATAAATTATAAAAAACATTTCCAATAACAACTATACTTTTTGTTATTAAATTTGATATTCCGTGTTAGGCTTTGATCGTTGTATTTAACTAGTTATAGTTTAGTATGACCTGAGACTCGAACTGACCAGTTTAAGTATATATTCAGGTTCGCCATAACTAATCTCTCAGAAAGACACTAGATTAACTAATACTAATTTGTATAAAATCTTTTATGTGACATATGCATTGATAAATATTTGATCATACAGATATCACCTAAACGTGAAGGTAAGTTTGTTGTGTTACTTGTAGTTTTGTTTCTCTTTATTGGAGGATTCGTTGTTGCCCACCCTCTATAATGTTCAACATTGACTTAATGACATCATTTTCTAATATTTAGATATTTTATACATTCCGAAGCAAGTCTCGCGTGTCTGCTATTATACACCATAGACAAAAGGTGCTATTCAAAGAAAAATGTATACAGTTGTTTCTAAGTGTTCAGCCCATTGTTTCTTTTCTCGCCACATCCAGATTCCTTTACAAAGACGTTGGATGCTTTACAAGTCTATTGTTGTTTACACTAAAAGCTTTGTACTGTATGGACCTTTTTTATTTTTGTTAGAGTTAACTTCAAACTCTAAAGTACAAATACCAGTTGTTTAAGAATGTTTCATTTATTGTGTACGAGGATATCATGAGTTTTAAAATCAATCATCATTTCATTTGAGTCATGATGCTTTGTAGTCTTACTTCGTGGCACACGTATAAGTTTATCACTTAATAAGATTCTATTCTTTAGCGTATGTGTGTGTAACGAATGAAATATTTGAGGCACGTTATTATTTCTGCCACTCTAATGTTCTTAAAATGAAAATATATAGTGTTAAAATTTTGCAGATTAAATTGTGATCATAAAGGTAAACTGCATATAGAAACGTAATATTGGTTGTTTGTCTAATCTAATTAAAACATTCTCTTTGAGCAGTCAGGAACATTGTGTAGAAATATTATAGTTATAGTTATTAGACATTTGTCAGTAAGTTTGATCCTTCAGTGATGGTGAAACAACAACTGCAACAGAAGATCCCAATTTTTAACCTCCAAAGATCACCTGCATGGTGTTAAGAGAATTACCTTCATTCAACTCTAAGCCACTTACAAAAAGTCTTTGTAGTGTTTAAAGTCGATCTGTAAGATGGTGTAAGTGGTTCGAAATTTGGTTTTACAGTAAATGGCATTATACTCATACAGGAAGTTCTTGTCTGAACATTCACTTCAGCTTTTCCACGGAAATAGCGCTTTCAAAATCCATCCACCTTGGGGGTCGAAAATCGGATTTTCGCGGCAACTCTACACAGCTTTATTGGTAGAACTCCATACTCAACAGTCCCAAATAGTTCACGCTATCCCATCCAGTCATCACTGTTAATCCCTTTCGATAGATCTTTAAAACCCACTCGACCTCACTCGCGAGTTAGTTCGCCCGTCCGACACGTGCACTCATTCCAAGTTCACGCTTGACAACAGTTGAAGTATGGGTATACATTGTAAGTTTCGATTTACGTCGGTCTATACATACGGATGTTTGGTAAGGCACCGCCGAGAACACGGTTTTCCTTTAAAAACTACTGATCCATACAAAATAATACCAATCCGAAGTATAAGACATGCACTCTATGCCAGTTATCTTAGAAAATATAAAATAAAGGTGTCCTTCATGTTAATTCTGAAAATTGTCTCAATATAAATAGCATAATCTATGTTAAGAAACACATTTTCTTTGCGCGCTGAATAAGATAGTGGACATGCCAGCACTAGTCTTTAAATGTTTTCTAACATTCAAGTACATCGACACTGATCGACATGAAATACTGACCAGAGGTCAGACAGACAGCCAGTAGCATCCGCCGCACCAAAGCCTTTATCTGACTATTTGAACCGAATAATGACCCTCGATGCCACTTTCGTAACGCACCCACAACTACAAGTACGGAGTGTATTCTTTCTCATCAGATCTCGAACCCCGGATCCATCCGCAGCATAACATACTAATCTCTGGCCGGTGGGTCGTGAGACGCGTAGTTACTGGCTGCCGCAGACCGCAACAACTGTGATTGCCTTAAACTAACGAGTCAATCAACTTCGTATGTGGGCCTTTATTACTGTGGCAAATAACTAAGTAGGCCTTGAAGTGATAAAGGTTGAGAAACCCTGTCCTAGACCTCCCTCTGTGAAACGTCTTAATTTGGGATAAAATATTGCTCTCTTTCTGATGTAGAAACGGTTAACAGTTTGTTTGTTTCGGGGCAAAGCCACATTGGGCCATCTTTCTACCACGGGGAATCAAACCGCAAATTTTAGAGCTTTTTAAAAATGCTGTGAGATGATTATTGTTTTTAAATGGGTGACACCAACTGTGAAATACATAAATTATATTTAAATAGAAATATTTCAACTGCTTGATATTTTTAATGTTTGTAAATCCTACAGTTGTGGGATTTGGGGGGGTGGGTGGGGTGAAAGCTTAATCTAGTTAAATGTTTTCAACTAAATAACAATTTTATTTATGTAATATATTTATATAAAGAAGGTTTAATTAAAGCCGTAGATTGCACTAATATCGCGGTGTGCAAAAAAGCTGGGAAGGTTATTTGAGTGAGTTCCATATCGAGTTTCAACTTTGTCAAGTGCTCTGAAACATGTATTTGATTGATAAAAGGAAACTTTTGGCGACTGAAACACGTAGATAAACATACTAAACTTATATATGCGGCTAAATGTCTTAGACAGGCCAACGGTAAACAAGTCGTTTTGTATAGAGAAAATGAAGTTTTACAGTTTTGAAATTGTTACATGAAAGCACTACCACAGGAACATTGTTGTCGTTGTTTTAGTGCCAAGCTACGCAATGGACTATCTGCACCCTGGAATTTAGCATTGTAAGTCCGTAAATATATCGCTGATCAATTAGGGACACAACATTGTTGTCTTCTAAGCCTGGAAGTTACATTTCAACATCCATGATAATGACAAGATTAAAGGTCAAATTAAATAAACAAACTTCTCATTAATTTGACATTTTAAACAAGTGATGCCAAAACTAAAAAGAAGAAATATGGTGTAATTTCACCCCATTCCCCACTTTTTCTAAAATCCTGAAATGCGAGAGAATTTCGTGATTTAGAACACAAAATGGTATAGAAGCCTCACGAAATAAAGTCGAGTAACTAGTGTTGTTTTGATTCATAAGGCACTTTACATACGTTTTCGAGAGCAACACAATCTAAGTTTCTGACAGGTTCAGTAATGAAGCATTTTCCTCAGATGTGCTTAACTAAACACACCAAAACACTGATAAGTAAACACGCCTAAACATTAATAACTAAACATGCCAAAACACTGACAACTAAACACGCCAAAACACTGATAAGTAAACACAACTAGCATCATTTAGTTTTATTATAATCTAATAAATAAAAAAAACGGGGCCGGGCATGACCTATTAGTTAGCGTGTCAAACTCTGAAACCAAGAGTTCATGGTTCATGACCCGTTGACGCAAAATTATGCTCCGCATTTTGGGACCGTAGGTGCGCTATAAAAGTGACAGTCAATTCGATCAAACAAGAGTAATTTAAGTATTGCCCATGGCTGCTACTGACTAGTTGTCTTTCTTCCAGTATATAAGCTCCAAATTGGTGACGGCGAGAGCAAACATTACTTGTGCAGCCTCGCGCAAAATCCTGAAACAAGCAAACTCAAACAGCGAATCTCGAGCCAGATTTGCTCTGAAATCGAGAAGAACTTGTTGAAAACTTCTAAATCCTCGAAAACAACAATAATCTTTTTTTGAAGACTTATGGTTACTGTTAGATGTTCTTTTTAAGAAGTTATGATTGAAGAGTGTATTGTATAATGTGATAACCACACTACATCTACAACATCCAATGCTGAGGAGGCCTTTCGCTAATACCAGAGCTCATTTGGCCGGATGAGCCCTGGTTGAGATACGACAAACTTTGTAGTTGTCTAAATGCTACTTATATCATCAACTTTCAAGAACAACGAGGATCTCGCAATCTGAGGGTCCCCATCCCACCAAACATGCTCGCCCTTTCAGCTGTGGTGGCGTTATAATGTTACGGTCAATCCCACTATTCATTGGTAAAATACTAGCTCAAGAGTTGGCGGTGGGTGGTGATGACTAGCTGCCTTCCATCTAGTCTTTCATTGCTAAATTAGGGACGGATAGCGCAGATAGCCCTCGTGTAACTTTGCGCGAAATTCATAACAAACCAAACAATTCATGAACAACGAATGTTATAATGTAAACTGGATCACGTGAGAGAGTTGAACTTGTTCTGAATTTTATTTAAGTCAGTTACAAATCTGATTATCATGGTAATGAATTACAAAACAATATTATTTATTTATCTCAAACCACCGATATGCTAGTTATTTCAATAACATACAAGCATCAAGAAAAGCATTCATACACGAAGCAAGTATGCGCATTAAAATTCATGTTGAGTAACATATGCTGACACATTTTTACTTACAAGGCACTGTGAATCTTTATTTTATATAATTTTGTAATTTTTGGCCGTCTTAATTTTATGAGATATAGAATCACACACGGACTTTTCTCTACGTTAAAACTATTTTCCTTTATTAGCGAGCTTTCAGCCCTCTTACCGGAACCTTCATCGGGCAACAATGTGCACATTAATTTCCCTATGTTATGAGTCTTAAAAAATAATTGTATTCGATATTATTATTTCGACCTGAAATGAACAAACACCATCCATGGAACTAAGAAACCATAAACCAAACATAGCATCACAAAGTTCATGACCTAAACCTTACATACGATTTGAAGTGTTCTTAATTAGAATACACAAAGTTCATGACCTAAACCTTACACACGATTTGAAGTGTTCTTAATTGGAATACACAAAGTTCATGACCTAAACCTTACACACGATTTGAAGTGTTCTTAATCGGAATACACAAAGTTCATGACCTAAACCTTACATACGATTTGAAGTGTTCTTAATTGGAATACTAATAAATAAGATTGAAGTAAATGAATGGTGACCTGAAATGAATTCCTAGTAAATTTATGCACATATAAATATTTTAAATGAGACATTTTGAGTGAGTTGCAGGATGACTTGCTACAGAACTGATTCGTTTTGAACATCCTAAAGAAAGAGTACATAGAATCGTATTTGAACTGGTGATCAGTAAGTACTCGATGTTTTGTAATCGATGTTTAGCACCAATATCAAATAATGTACATATAATGTGAATGAAATATGGCTGGTTACAGCTCTGTAAATCTGGACTGCAGCAGACGATGAGAATGAAATATGGCTGGTTACAACTCCGTAAATCTGGACTGCAGCAGACGATGAGAATGAAATATGGCTGGTTACAACTCCGTAAATCTGGACTGCAGCAGACGAAGCTCCGTAAGTCTGGACTGCAGCAGACGATGAGAATGAAATATGGCTGGTTACAGCTCCGTAAGTCTGGACTGCAG